TGGCCCATTTTTATTTGTTTCTGGATTGAAATAATGGTGAATACGCTGCTGGCCACGTTACTAATCCAGGTAGTGGCTGCTGTTGTTGTTGCTGTTGTGTCAGCTACAAATGATACAAACTTGTTTGCCAAATCCCATTGGACGCATCGCGAGGAGCTGCTGGAGGAATATGGCAAATTCATGCTGTCCACCATGAATCGGAGCGTCGATCCTTGCGAGAATTTCTATGAGTATGCGTGTGGCAACTGGAAGGAATCGCCTCTACTGCGGCCAGAGCAACGCAACACGAGTCTACTGCAGGGCATACAAACGGTAATCGACGAACAGGTGTTGCAATTTCTACAGAATGCCACAGAGCTGCCCCGCAATCTGACCTCAAGTTCGGAATGGAAAGCTAAAGAGTTTTATGCTAGTTGCGTACAAATGAAATCCGATCTATCGCCGGGATATCGAAGATTTATGGAGCTGGAAGATCGTTTTCAGCAATCAAACTTTACTAAAGATTGGATTTATGTGAATTTCATGTCGAACTATGAGATATTTCCGTTGCTGCCACTGAAAGTCAATTACAATCCGGCCCTGAGAAAATTCATCATCCTACTCCAGGCTCCGACTAAATTGCTCTCGAAATATACGCAGGATCACTTGCAGAATATGACAAAAGATTTTCATATCGAGGATGAAGTAAAACGTCGCGAATTTCTCGATAATTTTGCAAATTTAACGCAATTCGAGAAAAATCTCACGCAGTTGGTGAAAACTCGCAATGAAACAGAGAAATTGACGTTGGGCGAATTTCTGCTGAAGCATAAGGAGGATCGTTTGAACTGGACTCGATATTTTGAGGTGGCATTCAATGGGACGCAGCAATCGCATTGGATAGTGCAAAATCAATTGGAATCTGTGGGAGATTTGGTGCATTTTCTGGAGCACCAAAATCTTACGCTACTGCGCTCGTATGTGAAACAACGCGTGCTGCTGAAATTCTACGATGTGTGGAAGACGCAGAGTTTGAGAAATTCCAGCATAGCGTACTCCTGTCGCATGATCACCGAGTCGTATTACAACTATGCACTGCTGCCCTGGTTTATTGAGCGCGTCTTCGACAAGGATCGTCGGGCAGATGTCCTGCAGCTGGCGCTCCATATACGTGACACCTTCTATGAGCTGTTGGAGCAATATACGTGGCTGGATGAGGAGACACGCTCGCAGGCGAAAACGAAGCTATCCTCGATGGATGTTTTCGTCGGCTACAGCGATGATCTGCAGCATCGCGAACTGATCGATGAGGCCTACAAGGAGGTGAATATGACCCAGGATTTCTTCGAAAATGTTGCAGAGCTCGAACGGAACAGGGCCAGGGTGCGAATGCGTTCAGTGGACAAGGCGCTAATTCCACAGCTGATGCCCACGCGAACAGTGAACGCCTACTATGCGGACTTTCTCAATCAGGCCTTCATCACGATCGGCATGTCCCAGTGGCCGCTCTATCACATGCAACTGCCCGATGTGCTCAAGTTTGCCGGCATTGGCAATATAGTGGGCCATGAGATGGCGCATGGATTCGACTCGTACTGCTATCAGTTCAACTACGATGGCAAGAAGATCAATTGGTGGTCGGCAGGCTCGTTGCGTAACTTCAAGGAGCGCTATCGCTGTCTGGAATCGCAGTATAACAAATACTTGCTACTCGGCATGGCGACCAATGGCACTTTGACCTCGGGCGATAATATTGCTGATAATGTGGGCGCACGCATGGCCTACTATGCCTATAAGAAGCATACCAACAATAAAGCATGGCAGGAGAAGCCGCTGCGTGGCATCGAGTACAATAATAAGCAGCTCTTCTTCCTGAAGTTCGCTCAGACCTGGTGCACGGGCAGCGACAACGCGTACAAGCTGAAAAGACTCAAAACGGATGCCCATGCCAGCGAGGAGTTCCGAGTCGTGGGCACTTTGAGTAATATGCCCGAGTTTAGCGAGGCTTTCAACTGCAAACTGGGCACCGACATGAATCCGCTAAAGAAATGTGTCGTTTGGTAAATAAAATGAAATCATTGGTAGAGGCTAAAGAGTTGTATTTTGAATTTCAATTTAATTGGAGAGGTTTGAGGGATCAGATCTATGCAGATTACTGATCTTGATGTTAAAGTTGTTTATCTGGTACTCATTGATCTTCATTGATTTGGATGCTGAGGTTAAGATTGTCTACGAAAAGCGCCACAATTTATCTTCAAAGATCATCATAGGTACATAACCCTAATTTTACTACAAGCTTCATAAAGCGAAATTCAATTGACATTCTCGAAACTTCTTTTTGGCTAATAAAAGTTTGAGCGATTATAAAAATATAGATTCTTCAAGATCTTTTAAGTTAAGTTAGCTGCTTAAGTTAAACTTGAACAAATCCTAAATATGAATTCTTCAAGATCTCTTTGATTTACTGGTCAATCATTCAAGCTAATTAGCTAATGAATCGATCATTAATTTGATGTTAAAAGCTTGGAAAAAGTGGTATATGACGTTGAGCTCTTGACTTTTATCTATCAAATTCTTTCGAATTATTTTTTAGCTGAAATTGATGTGTGAGCTTTCTATTAAACATTTATTTTATTGCAGATCAAGAAGAGATCACAACATCTGTGGAAGATTTTTTATTACCACAAATAAATAGTTTAGATGTTAGATTATGTTCTTATGTTATGTCGTAGCAATAAATATACTAAATCAAATAGAGCTGTTCTTATAAAGCCATAGAATTTCTTTAGGTGCATTTCTCAAGATGTTTCTAAAGACAATTGAATAGGGATCAAAAGGCAACTGCTAATACATATTTGTTTCACCTACAGCTGATGATGATGGTTGTAATTGAATGCGAACTAATTGATTTTGAGCAGAACCTGCAGAGGACCGTACACTCTCTCTCAATATATATGTATATAGAGAGAGAGAGAGACTAAAGACTTGGGTAGGCGGGTCTGGTAATATTTGTCTTTTGACTTTAGACTGGGTGACACCTTTCTCATTACGAATTAATGGCATTTGAACAAAACAAAAAGAGAAATGATGACAAAAGGTGAACAAAAGGCAAAAACTACCGAAGGCGAAAAAGAAGCAGATGAAGTCGAAGTAGGTGTAGTCCAGAGAGTCGTTCAGGTGAGATTCACTTCAAAGAATTGGGCACTGAAACAACTGTAAAATGTAGATAAAGACGGGAAAAACAGTTTTACTTTATCATTAGTCGTGCTCAGATGCAGATCATACGTAGAATGGCTAAGAGTGAGCTGCAGAATGCTCTGCCTTGTGCATACCAAATGAACCTATAATGTTATTTGTTTAAGGATCGCCCACAGTTGCTCAGCCTCACTATCTTAGCCGTCTGTCTAACGGATTTTCATGCATTTTGTTATGGATTTGCGGCGCCAGCTAGTGAGCGGGCAGGTAGAAACGATCCCGGCCCAAAGGACTCAGCAGGATCTTTGCAGTCGCTGTGCTGCGTGACTTGTCTGACTTCTACTGACTTTCCCACTGACGACTTCTGGCCATAATCTGTGCAGGTCATAAAATCAGCAATCATTAATTTTTACAGTTTTCTGCCGGGTTTCCTTTCTCTTAGCTGTTCGTATCTTGACTTTTACGAATGCAAAGTGTTTTTGCTGCACATGAAATGTTACTTAAATGTAGTTAATTATACTCGTTGGAGAAGTGGCAAGAGGGTATATTGGTTTACTCACAATTTATGTTTGTAATATTTTTATTTTTATTTAATTTTATTTTTATTATTATTATTTTTTTTTTCTTTTTGAAACGTAGAATAATCATTATTTTTAATAGTTTTTCTTAAGATAGGCCACTGTTAGATCGCCGTTGATCTTACTTATAATTCATCTAAAATCTCTATTAATATCTTCAGCATTGTATCTTCGAAAATTGTAAAACATTTCTTAGGTCAAATTTTTACAGCTCTCCAAAACATAAACATATTTTTTTAAGCATCGTCAATTTACATTTTCAATTTCACTTTCTCAAGCTCTTCGTGCTATAATTCAATATTTCTACTCTCTAGCAGTGAGCGGGTATCAAGCAGTCGTTCCGTCCGAGAGTCACGTTTTTCACTATGCTTCTTCATTCTTCTTAATTTATTTTTGTTACCTACAGCAGTGCTAATGCCCATGCATACTTGCAGGTGGTCTTTCGCTCATCTTCCCCTCCCCTATGCGCACTTACTTGCTCTTGCAAAATCTTCCAATTATATAAGTATATATATAAGGTTGAAATTGTAGCGCACTTTTCCCACTTTTATCTCATAATTGCATTTGCCGCACACAAATTGCAGCCACAATGGACAGTCAAATTAGCCAAAGATGCGAGCGGCCATTTGTAATCTTCTAGCCGGAGACTTTCGAGTTTGACTTCAGCCTCCACTGGGAGAGAGACTCCTTCCGTCTCGATCTCAGCTACAGCTGCGGCTGCATTAATTCCATTTATGTAAACCATTGTGAAGCCAGGGCTTGTCTTTTAATATGAAAGGCGTAGACCGCGTAATAAAAAATCAACTTGTATGCGGCCTCTGAGTGGGAGCTGCTCGCCAGCAACAAATTTTGCAGTCGGTGCAAAATAGGGTTGCCAGGTGGACATCAATAAATATCAATTTTTATCATAATAAAAAGTTTTTAAATTTGAATAAAATATAAATGCATACTAATTTTAATAACTATTTAGTTTTTACACCATAATACGGAATATTTACTATTACAAAATATGAACATTTTGAAGAATGTTTTGTTAATAATCTAGCCCAAGTTTTTGACGTAGATATTTTTGAGCATCAAACCAAAATTATTTGGCGATCTTTGATATAGAGAATAAATCCAAAAATATTAAAGCAATTTAAAGTTTACTTTATTTAGTTTTAGACAAAAGTGAATAGCCTAAAGGCAAATGCATTGCAATCAATAATTTTCAAAGGTTTTATATATTCAATAATAATTTCAATGCTTGGCAACTCTGCTGCGGCTGACTTTTATAAAAAGCAGTTGCCAAAAGCATGTTACCATAATTACATGCAGAAAGTCTTCTTTGCTCTTAAGCCAAGTCGAGGCACAAAGCAAAGTAAAGCGCCTCCCAGACACCCCCACACACTCACAGACACACACACACACACACAGAGAGACTTGCAGTGGCTCATCAAAAGGGGCGTCGCAGCAGGGGCTGGGTGGAGCTGAAAGGGGATTTGAACTACCAAAACAGTTGCAGAGCCAACCGAGAAGCAACACGCGCGGCATTGCTCTTCATGGTGAATTATGAAAATCGTTTGCGAAATTAAGTTAAGAACTTTTTGCTCGAGTAGAAGCAGCAGCAGCAGCAGCAGCAGGATCAGCAGCTGGAGCAGGAGCAGCAGCAGCCACGACCAACTGCAGAGGAGCTGAGCTGAGCTGAGTTGAGCTGCCTTTATTAAATGGAGATGATCAATTTAAATATTTTGTTTGTTGTTGTTGTTGTTGTTGTTGCTGTGCGTGTGCGCCTGACCCTGGGTTGGAGATTGAGTTCTGAGCCAGCGACTTGCAATTCGCATCTTGATGCAGTTAGGCTGCTGCTACTCCTGCTACTCCTGCTACTCTTTCTCTGGCCACACTTTGCCTTGCTCTCTTCCCTCTCTAGTTGTTGCTACTCTTCTGGCTTTGCTTTTACCTCTGCCTCTGCCGCCTCCTACTCCGATTTGTATAAAAAATGTGCTTCATTTTATTTGGTTGCACCGATGTCCGCCTTCGTTCAGGTAAACGCCCCAACGAAAAAAGATGAAACAAGTGAAAAATGTTGCAAGTATGAAAGGAGAATGAACTATGAGATACTCTGGAATTGTATATGTTGAAGAGTTTGTTAACTGTGGCTTAGTAAAGGTTAAATATATGGAAATTGAGTTATACATAAACAAAGATAGAAAGATGAAATGTAAAAGTGGGCTCGATTATACGAAGCTATTTTATTTATTAAGCTAAAATAAATTCAATTATTAAATTTACGAAAAGCTTTTACTGGGTAAAGAACAAAAAATGAAATTAAACAAAAATTTTTTTCTATTTTATTATTATTTTTTTCAACATTCTTTGTTATTAATTTTTCAAATTTAATTATTTTTCTGATTTTGTTTATTTTCTATTTTATTATTATTTATTTATTTTTTTTTTTTCTAACTCTACTTCACACTGTCAATTCTGTATAACCGCTTTCTGTCACCTATTCTAGGGTATTGGCAAAAGTAATGCTTGCCGAAAATGCGGCAAGCAAATCGCATATGGATCAATCGAGCTGCAGCTTCTGCCTCCTGCATTCTGCAGCAATCTTTTGGCTTGGCTGCGGCTCCTGCTGCTGCTGCTTCTGCTGGCAAAGTGAACTTCTGCTTCGTTTTAGATATATTTTCTCTTTTCTTTAAGCTTACTTGGCTTTAGTTGTTGCTGTTGTTGTTATTATTATTTTGCAAACGATTATCTAAATTGCATACGAAATTATTTTAATTAAAAATCTAATTTTCGTTTTGGAGTTGGTTCGGCTCTGTGCTCCGCCCTCTCGTACAGAACTTGTTTAACATATTGACCATGGGAAATTTGACGATAGATGGTCTTAGCCTTTGCCTTTGGGTTTGGGTTTGGCTATGCCTTTGCCTTTATGCATTGAACCCTTAATTTGACGCGATTAAAATGATATTAGCGTGGTCTTTTACATGGATATGGCCCAGATGTTGCCAAGGTATTTCCTTGGCGGCGAGGTGTGAAGATGAGCTGCAGCGTCAGCTGTTGCTGCTGCTTCTCTTACTCTCTGCGTACAAACCTATATACATCACCATTTCTACGCCATTTATTGATTAATGATCCATTATTTTGGACGGTAGTTGCTCATATGTATATTGTATGTAAGGGGTACTTGGAATAATTAACGCCTTTCCGGTTTGTCTTGCCTAGACGACAATTTCTATGTGCAGGGAAAAGTTAATATTCCACTTAATTAATGGGAATTTTTTTTAGTTTCCATTTCGATCGTTATGCACAGTGTAAGTTTGCTTG